ACACAAATTGTTTAGCTTATTTCAAAATCTGGCACGGTCTACACAGTGCCAAATTTCAAAAGAGAGAGCTATTCCGAAACATCCCTTAATCCTCCTGGAATGAGGTTTACAGGGACATTGGAATAGTGCATCTGTTATTTTGAAAGCTAATTTGAAACAACAGGGGCACTGTCAAGATGTGGAAAATGCTATTTTGGGATACCAGAAATATCCTGAAATAGCATCACTGTCTAGACGCACCTTGTGTTTCAATACCCATCTGAGAATTGAACCTGCTTCTTTGGCCTGCCTTCACCAGTTAAGCTATAACATCTTTGGGACTGGGGCTGGGGCTGCTTCTCATGACCTTAGGGGCTGTGTCTACCCTGGCCACTTATTCCGGAAAAGCAGCCGCTTTTCTGGAATAGCTTGCCAGCTGTCTACACTGGCCGCTTGCTTTTCCGGAAAAGCAATGACGATCTAATGTAAAATCGTCATTTTTCCGGAAAAACTATGCTGCTCCCGTTCGGGCAAAAGCCCTTTTCCGGAAAAACTGTTCCGGAAAAGGGCCAGTGTGGACAGCACAGTAGTCTTTTCCGCAAAAAAGCCCCGATTGCGAAAATGACGATTGGGGCTTTTTTGCAGAAAAGCGCGTCTACATTGGCCACGGACGCTTTTCCAGAAAAAGTGCTTTTCCGGAAAAGCATCTTGCCAATGTAGACGTGCTTTTTCCGGAAATACTTATAACAGAAAACTGTTCCGTTTTAAGCATTTCCAGAAAAGGGTGCCAGTGTAGACGTAGCCTGATTGTATAGCACAATGGAGCACCATTCTGTAACAATGTGACTGTGTTATAGTGACACACTAGAAATGTTTGCTTGAAGTGAAAAGGCACACTCATTTCTGAGCCTTCATTTTCAGTCACTTTCCACAAACATTCTTTTTACTTAAATTTAGAAATAAAGGAAAAGGTTTTTAAAAATAATCTAAAGCATAGGTGCTGCCTAAATATGCATGTTAACCCAAACATGCATGTTTCATTGTGATCCTGGACACGAGATCAGTCAAGAAACTACACGTCAAATAATCACTCATAGGAGGTTCTCAGGCTGTGTCTAGACTGGCAAGATTTTGCGCAAAAGCGACTGCTTTTGTGCAAAATCTTGCTGCCTGTCTAGACTTGCCGCGAGTATTTGCACAAGACCACTGACTTTGTACTGTACAAAATCAGTGCTTCTTGCGCAAATACCCCGATGCTCCTGCTCAGGGATAATACCTCTTGAGCAAGTATTCTTGCGCAAGAGGGCCAGTGTAGACAGACAAGTTGATTTTTTGTGCAAGAAAGCCCGATGGCTAAAATGGCCATCGGGGCTTTCTTGCACAAGAGAGCGTCTACACTGGCATGGATGCTTTTGCGCAAAAGCATCCGTGCCAATGTAGACACACTCTTGCGCAAATACTTTTAATGGAAAATCTTTTCCGTTAAAAGTATTTGCGCAAAATCATGCCAGTCTAGACGTAGCCTTAGTGTTAACTGTGCCTGAGTGAAAACTGCAGACTGGTCCCACAGCACAGTCAACTTGTGGGACCAAACCTTATTGCCCTGTTCTTTTTTATTCAATATAACCTAGTTCTTTGATCTTGAGGCATGCTGCATCTTGTGTCCCAGGTATTTGAAGGATCTGAATTAATAAGAGGGAAGTATGATGACTGGTGGATAGATGATTTTTGTTTAGCCCTGAATGGCTGAATAAATGTGGAAGAACATATTGGTATTTATTTGAGACATTTAAGAGAAAATAACACACACAGGCCTAGAGCAACCATTTGGAAAAACCTATATTAAGAGTTGCATTGACTGCAGGGAGATTGAAGAACATGCTTACAATTAACCATCTGCTAAAGTGTTTTACTGAATTGGGGCCTTGAATTCCGAGCCATTTCAATAATTAGTTTTTCAACTATGCTTCTTGTCTCTAATTAAAATGCCTGCAGTTTGTAAACCTTTTGGCTCCCATCTAGTTTTCTCATCTAAATATACAGCTTGAACATATTCTGTAGTCTGATGGATCATTGAATCTAACAGGCTCAAGGGGTGCTATCCTATGTTCATCCTGTGTCCATTTTCTCTAGTGTATAACTACAATGCCCTGGTTTATTATGGCTATGTCTAGACTGCAGGCTTCTTTTGGAAGCACCTTTTTTCCAGAAGAGATCTTCTGCAAAAGCTTCTTCCAAAAGAGAGCATCCATACTCAAAAGCGCATCGAAAAAGCGATTTGCTTTTTTGAAAGATAGCATCCATACTGAATGGAAGCTATCTTGCATTTAATCTGTGATTACTATGGAGGGAGTGACCACCAGGGCACATGTGCGTTTTCCTTTCCTCTTCTTTTGAAAAAAAACCCCCTCTTTTCCGTCCATACATGCCTTTTTCCAAAAGAGCTCTTTCCAAAAAGGACTTTTTCCTCATAGAAAGAGGATTACCAACGCTGGAAAAACCCCTCTGTTCTTTCGATTTACTTTCGGAAGAACGTGATTGCAGTGTGGACGTAACTCAGGTTTTGTTGGAAAAACAGCTGTTTTTGAGACAAAACTCTGTAGTGTAGACATACCCTATGTGCTGCTATGCGGACATTGCAAAATGGACCTCCCAAGTACAAAACTCATGTTTGAACTATTAAGAGCTAACAAAAAACAGAGTCCTTAAGAGTTTGCCTGTGTATGTGTTATTTCACAATCCTTAAATTTTCAATTTTAGCTTACATTAACTTTTTGCCCAGCGAGATACTGAATACACATAAAACATTCAGGTTACTGAAAATGAACACTAAGGTATGGAGTCCTATTTAGAACTGGAGAGTAAAAAGAAAGCACGATCATTCTAACATTTTGCTACATCCTATGTTTTCTTAAGCTTTTTGGCAGGGGCATCTGAACTCAAAACATTTCACATTAAAAATAAATAAATAAATAAAGTGTAACCAATAAAATGAAAACCTCCTAATTCTGACTGAGAGGGCATGCCTGACAGTGCTGGTAGTTCTTCTGGTCTTCACGAGGAGTAACAGAAGTTGACAGGAGCACATGGACAGCGTCAAAATGCAATTTAAGATACTTTAACTCCAGCTACATAATTAACATAGCTGGAGCTGCATATCTTAAGTCAACTTTCCCCTTTAGTATAGACCAGGCCTCATAGAGCAACCCTCCCTCTTCCCCCAAATAATTTGCACCATAAAAATAATACAGAACTGATTTAAAGAAAACACTTAAAGCCTGTGTCTATTTCTGGAATAAGTGGCCCAGTAATCAGCCGCTTTTCCGGAATAAGCTGCGAGCTGTCTACACTGGCCCATGAATTTCCGGAAAAGCAACGATGCTCTACTGTACAAAATCAGCCGCTATTCCGGAAAAACTATTCTGCTCCCGCTCGGGCTTAAGTCCTTATTCCGGAACACTGTTCCGGAAAAGGGCCAGTGTAGACAGCCCAGTAGTTTTTTCCCGGAAAAGCACATCTACATTGGCCACAGACGCTTTTCCGGAAAAGCAGCCTGCCAATGTAGATGTTCCTTTTCCGGAAAAACTGAAAACGGAATAGTATTCCGTTTTAAGCATTTCCGGAAATTCATGCCAGTGTAGACACAGCCATAGGATGCCTGTGACAGCCTCATCTGGTGACTCTTTCCATAACAATTAAGTACAGGCACAATTTGCTTTCTTAAATAACCAGGAAAATAAATGTTGAAAATTTATTAACACAAAATTAAGGTCACATTTTAATGAAAAAATGTTAAGAAATGAAAAATTAAGCTTTTAACTCTCCCACACTGCACACACTACATAGTCAGACTATTCAACACTCAGAATTGTGTGTGTGTGTGTGTGTGTACACACACACTCAATATATGCAAATATTACTTAAATTTAGTAGTGATCTGTTTAAGTAATATTAAATCAGAAATCCAGAATTTTGAAAGAATAATTTGGAAGAATAATTAAGAAGTAGCGCAAGTTCCTCTGCATTCTGCAAAACGTAACAGGTAATAGTAGGACGAGTCTAGATGGGAAAGGCTGGTAAGCTGCATACATCTCACCTACTTTATACAAATATGTTTGGGGCTCTTTGGGAATTCTAGCTGGCCATAAGAGGCAGAGCTCAGAAAGAGATGTTTATACTGTGTGGCACTATTAGTCCTCATGTAACTTTTCTGAGCAAGTACATGTTGGGTTCTGAAAAACCTCTTTGGCCACACTTTCCACCTATTTCTTCCTTTCCAGATATCACACAATTACTGGAGAAAATCCATCCTCAGCCTTAATTGCATTGTCCTAGCTTTCTACTCTTAAGTCCTATGAATTTAAGGCCAGGTTTTTTGGAAGATTGGGGAAAGCCCTTACAGTCCCCACTACTGATTAAACAGTGTTCTGTTTACACACATGTAACAAGGAATGGCTACAGACACTGCAGCTATTAATCTTTTTACTAATGCCTTGCCCTGCTTTTAATTTTGCTTATACAGGGTGGAAGGTCTAAAGCCAGAATTGACACCCAAAGGCTGGAATGTGCAAGTCAGTAAATGGGGATGTACCGAAGATGAAGATACTTACATGAGTCAGAAAAAAGTGTCATTACACTCAGATGTCTCTCTCAGTTTTGCTCCCTGATCTGTCAAGTCCTCTTGCATGATGTTTTTGTAGTAGATTTTCAGCCTTTCCATGCTATGTGATGGGTTTGTTGCCAGTGATAATCCATTTCTTCCCATACTTCTCTAGTGAGGTGATTTTTTTCTATTGTGGACTAAGCCTATTTATTAACTAATCCTTTTTGTTTTGGGTGGGAAAAATATTTAGTATGTCAAAAAATAGTCCAAAGTAATATCTAGATGTATTATATGGTTTCTAGACAACACAAGAGGAGGCACATACCTAACAGAGGACTTTCTACTTACTCTGCATTAAATACTGTTTATTACTAATTCTTTTCCTTGCATTCATGAGAAAGAAGTGGTGAGAAAAAGGTGCAAACCACATTAATTTTTATTAAAATACATCCCCTCTTTTGTCAGTGTAGCTGACAAGTAGATATCTTCCACTACATGCAGTACACAGTTACATCAGTTTCAAAACCACTTTCCACATTAGTTGTTTTTTGAGCTCAAGCTTTCTGGACATGAACACTGTAAACTTAAGCATACTAAATGTTAGATACAGAAAACCTCTTAAATGCTAAACACAACATGAAGTGGAAAAAATCAATGTCCTCACCTACTTTTGCAAAGGAGTTTAAATATAGAATTCTTGTTTCTGAACTTTATTTCTCTGCAAAGATGAAGATGATTAGAAACATCAAAGAAAAAGTTGCATGGAAAGATGAGTACTATGCAACAATATTTCAAGTGGTATTGTTTAATAATTTCACCTTCAAATGTTAACTATGAATACATGGAGCACAATCACAACTGGTGTAAGGTGGTATATAGATTTTGTTAATTCTCTTGGTGCACTGTACAAGAGGCTTGGTCTTCCTAAAAAAAAGTGATGTGATCAGGGGCAAATGCAATAGGATTTTCCCCAAGAGCCTGATCCAAAAATCCCTCGACTCTGACAGGCTTTGCACTAAGCCCCAAATAGCAATTAAAAAAAGGGGATGGAGGTGGAGGAAGCATGTTAACACCACAGGAATATGCTGTGTGATCACTTATAGGAGCCAGTATGGAAAAGTTAGCCATCTAGGTGTCTACCACAGGTATTCTGGAGAGTGATTAAAATGTGTGTAGCAAATACATCAATACATTCTTCAGACACTATGTAGTTCAAGGTGTGAAGACATAATGGGAAGTATGTAATTGAAATGCATGGGTATGATCTTATTACAGATACTTCTGTGAGTAGATCATGTACTTAATATGGATTCATTTTCCAGTGTTGATTTACAAAATAATTTTAACCACAGACTATCCTTGCAACATGCTCAGCCATTAACCAATCCTCCCAGGGTGACAAGCATGCATGATTACAGGGGTGCAATAATACTATATAATACTGAATACATAGCACTGTTAGGTCCTCTTCATAGATATGATGACTTATTAAAGAGAACGTTTATTTTTGGGGTATTTCTGTTCCTGCATGGGGCATAAACAAATGTCCTTTACTTTCCCAGGAGATAAATATAGTTGGAAGCAGTTCACAACTTCCACAACTAAAGCAAAAAGAGCAGCATTTACCTTTCCCCTTGTGACCAGTCTCTATGCTAGCTCACTTCCACTGCTTGCATTCTTTTATGTGCAACAAGTGGGCCAAGAGGTTAATGTGCACCACACTTTTTATCTTTTCCTACATCTCTGAAGAATCAGAAGAGGGAAGGTAGGGTTAGGGCTTTTCAGAAAGGTACTACACCCAGCACACACCCTGGTAGACATAACACAAACAAGGTTTTGCACTCCTTCCCACCTGTGAGCCAGGCAATTACTATTATTATCCACTTTTCTTTCAGCTCATGGTAGCAGCTACTGTGCATTCTTTATTACACATAGACATCTTTTATATCAGCTGCTCTGTCTGTATGCAAACTGCAGTATTCTAGGTCTTCAGGGATAAGAAATGAAGGTGGTTTTGATACTGAATTAAGAATGAATGTATCTGGTTATGTTTCATCCTCACTATAACTAAGCTATTTACTGCTCACATTTCAAGTTCACAGAGATGAGATGGGATGCAAGTTATACTTTCTACTGAAGCATCTTCCTACCGTTGCTTAAATTCCCACTGCAAAAAGGTAATTAGGGCTCACCATCTCTCTCACACTTTGCCATCTATACGCAGAAATTTGTCTTTCATAAATACGCAGGTACTTGAACACTAGCCTTTTTAATCACAAAGGGAAGTTCAAGTGACCTATCTGTAACTGAAGGTTGTTTACTTCGTAAAACAACTTTAAATCACTATTTTGTAATTTAAAAATAAGTGGAGTAAAAGAAGATGCAGCCTTTGCTTTTTAAATGTATGGCAATTTACAGCTAGAGGCTAGAGAGTTAAATACAATATAGAGTAAGAAAACATCCCAAAAAGCATTTGGAGATATTTGTGTGTACAGGTGGATACCATAGCTAATTAGCAATTTTTACAAAGCTTCAAAAAGATGCAGGAACGCTAATCCATTTTCTCTTCTTGGAAGTAATCTGCATCATTTATATATTCTTCCAGATGATCATATCTCTGCATACAAAAAACAAACCACATGTCAATTCATTAAAGAGAGCAACTGAATGAAGCAAATACATTTCTTGTTGTGCCAAACTTATTTCACAAATAAAGCTAGCAAGCACTGATTCAGAAGCAGAGAGAACCAAAGCCTATTTGGTAAACTTGCCTCGACTTAGGTAATTTGTCTTATAGGTGTTTTATTAATCCCGATACAGAAACACTGGAAGCTTAGCCATGAAATACATCTCATTATCTAGGTATACTTACATTATTTATCCACCTTTTTCGTTTTAACAGAGTTCCCAGTACCTTAACACACAGAACGTGGACAGACTATTGCAGCAGCATATACAAGTGTAAGAAATTAACATGTATTATATTGTTACTAATATTTACATCAGGTATTTTGTTATGACATTAATATGGGGTCATTTTGCCAAAAATATTTATGCTTTAAAAACTTATAAATAAGGGCCCTACTATTTCTATTGGAAGTTGTCCATTTAGAGAAACAAAAATGGGTCCATTCCAAGAGAAACGTGGCCTGAAAGTCACATCTTTAAATGGAGGAGAATACACGTGAAAGAAGCTGAATTTGCTTGGAAGTCTGAATTTGGAATCCAGTGGATGAAGGTCTATCAGACGAGTACATAAGCTGCAAGAATTTTAAATGACCGGAGCAAAGCCCTCTTTTGTCTCAGATTGAGATATTTTTCAGTTTAAGGATTTCCCTTTGTTGGGTCAAGTCACTGGGCCTCTCTCAAGAGTCAAACTCACATATTGTCACTTCATAAAAGTTCTCACTTACACTTATGCAACACTGGTGCCTTCATATTCATGCTTTGAATTACATCTGTGCAAACTCAGAATCTTTAACTGTAACTGGAATCAGATAAACTACTTTGCTGTGGAACAGAATCCAGCTCCCCCATCTTAAATGTCCCAGCAATGCTAAAATGAATAAAAATCAGTTAAGGTACTTGCTTATTTTTGTGACTAAAACAGACTGATTACTTACAAGGAGCAGCTTTGTTCTGTAAATAGGTACTATTTTTAGTCATTTTTCAGAGCAGAACTGCACTTTATAGGAAGTCATTACAGGTCCTGCATGGCTGATGTCTATTTACCATATCAAATCAACTACAGTACATCACAAATGCACACCTTCTTACAATTCACTGCTTAATTTAAACATAGACATTTTATTTAGCACTGCTGTCATGTTCTTTGATACAAAGGAATTTTACCCAATGACATATTCCATCATACCTCCTGAATCCAGCCTTTTTCTTCCAATTGACTGAAAAGCCTATCAACTGTGTCTTTGACTGGCTCATCTTGAATGCCATCTACCTCTGTAACAGAGCAGCAGCGCTGATACAACTTGTATTTAAAATGTTTCAGATTGTGATAAACCCTTGTACGACTTGCACACACCCTGCCAACCTTCAAAACCTATTAAAAAAAAAAAGGTGAACAAATTTGGTTATCTAAGAAAAAATAACTTGCAGCAATGATCACTGGCAATATAAGTCATTGCTGTCAGTTTAGTATTTTGAAATAATAAATTAACCAGCCTTTGATGTTATGATTTACTCTATTTTATATGCACTATAGCTCTTACACTCTTTGTACCCCAACCCTTCAGGATCAATGGCTGGTGATTCAGTGCAACTGCAGTTCCATCTGCCCCTGCTCCTCAAGAACTACTCTGTGCAGCTGCACAGAAAAAGTAAAATGCTGCCAGTGGATCTACCTGAGCAACTATGTTACAAAAATCCTCTGCAATGCTTACACTGATGTTTGGACGAAAACAGATTTAATCCTTTAGATTTATATTAGGGGGCTGCACCCCCTCTCTCTGGGGGCAGGCAGCCCTGGCTCTCTTGCCGCAGCCACTGGGGAGGGCCAGGCCAAGGCCGCAGCAGTGTTGGATTCAGCTCAAACTTGCTGGGAAAATCACAGGGAACTATAGAATGACTGAAAGCCTAACCAACTTAGGGGTGATGGCTGAAGTCTCAAGACAAAGAGGCACCCTTGAGCAGATGACAAAAAAAGGGGGTGGAAAGTGCACTTAATCATGGCACTTTTTACTGACTTTTTTCTAGTTTTAAACAGGAAATGGAGATTACATCCTTGTCCTGGATAATTCATTACCCCCTTGAGTTTAGGTGAGGCACATCTTTCCTATATGGCCAATGGATCGGTTTTGATATCTGCCCTGGGAGA